CTTGTGTCCTGGAATAAAAAGGGATACATGAACAGTGGTAAAATTAGAGAGTGTTAAAGACAAAGGCATTTTTAGAGATGGAGGGGGCACAGCTAGAGAACCAGGATTGATCTGAGACTCAAAAGCTCCACAGCTTGTCAAGACCCTTCTTAGATCATTTACTTTCTCAGGCAGATCTGGCCATACCCTGCCTTGAGCACTGTTTTGGCACACATAGCCCTGGTTGGTCACAGAAAGTCCCAGACAGTCTTCCACTGTGTTTCATGTTAATGTTGGTGCCTCTTTTTGTAGCCTCACTTTCCTGCCACAGAGGTCTGTAAGGCCCTGTCTGTATTCAGTAGATAATATATCCTTTATGTCTCCATGTCTCCCCAGCTCTTCCTTTCTTGCTTTGTCCTCTACTCACACACCTTTAGATAGCACCCACTGGTAAGTTCTAGTATCTATTTTAGCCTCTCATGAAGCATTCTCCACTGGAGATTCCCCCTTAACTCCTGCTTTCTTATCATTTTAAGAGTTCAGTCTCCCTCTCCTCTCCTCTCCTCTCCTCTCCTCTCCTTTCCTTCTTGTCACCTTCTCTATGTGTGTTACATGTGTGTGGGGGGGGTACATGGAAAGACACTAGGTGTACACAAATATACAATATCTATAGTCTATCTATCTATCTATCTATCTATCTATCTATCTATCTATCTATCTATCATCTGTTAAAAGCCAGCTTTTCTCCAGGTCTCTCCTCTCCTCCCTTTCCTTTCCCTCTTCTTCCTTACTTGACTGACATTCCCACATAAGTGGTTTGATTTAATAGAGAAAGCTCTAAGATAGTATGATGGTTTGAAAGAAAATGGCCCCCATAGGTCCATAGAGAGTAGCAATTTAGGGGGTGTAGCCTTGTTAGAGGAAGTGTGTCACTGGGGGCAGCTTCAAGATAGATAGGTAGATAAATAGATAGATAGATAGATAGATAGATAGATAGATAGATAGATAGAATGTAAAGTATAGGTAGTGTATATTTATGTGCCTAGTGCTTTTCCATGTGTCTGTGAGCACATGCACATGCACACTCATGCATGCACGTGCACACACACACACACATACAAACACATGCATGTGCATGCACACATGGATGGTATGTGTTCTCATATATTTCTGCAAGCATATACGTACATGCACATATCATAAGGTAGCTCCAGACCTTTCTTCTAGAGCATCAGACCTGTGTGTTTTTAATTTGCTAAAGACACTTTAACTTCATTATTCTAAAACTAACTGAACTTATGGTCTATCTACCATATCACTATGGTTCCTTTCCCAGTGCTGTGGGCCTGTGTGGATAGCTCTCTATCTGGTTAGTCAGTCTACATGCTAGAGCCTTCCTCCTCAGCCTGCCTGCCTGGATGTGCCCCTTGTTGAATTCTATTGCTTTTATCTCCTAAATGGCTTCCAGATTCTTTGCTCTTTTCCTACATTGCCTCTCCCAGAGGCGCCTTCCTCCAGACTCCTGAGGTCCATCTCTATTGCCTCCTAGCTTTGTCATTCTTCTGTCAGCTACAAAAGTGATCTTTCTGAAGCACACATCTCTTCATGTTTTGTAGTGCTTTTCTGCCACATCTGTGTAAGACAGATGGCCTTCCTACTCTGTCCTGAAGGACTAAGGGGCTCTTTCCCTTCACTCTCAAGCTTTATCTTGTATAGTGATATCCATATTCCCTCTGTCATATCCACATGCCTGTCTGCCAGTCTCTGCTAGTCTTCTCTCATTTCCTGCTGAATGACAAACAAAAAGTTGTACTTGACTACTCCTAGGTTTGGTGGAGGAGAAGGTTTATTGTAGATATCAGGGAGAGCATAGCCAGAGGCAGAGGCATCTGAGAGAGTCCAGGGTGAACACAACTGATCCTGGCCATGTGAGCAGAGTGGGGACAGGAGAGGAGAGAGCCAAGAGACCAAGATCTGGGCATACCCAAAATGGCTGGAATATATAGGAAGAGCCACTGGCGGAAGGGCAGCCCAGCCCCTGAGCTGTAGAGCTCAGCCTAGGTGACAGGGTTTGCCAGCTATGTCCTATAACAGGTAGGGACTGAGCAATTTTGGGAGAATCTGGAGGTCAGGTCTGCTTTGCTGTGTTAAAAAGTCTCTTTGTGCAGGGCAGTGGTGGCACACGCCTTTAATCCCAGCACTTGGGAGGCAGAGGCAGGTGGATTTCTGAGTTCCAGGCCAGCCTGGTCTACAGAGTGAGTTCCAGGACAGCCAGGGCTACACAGAGAAACCCTGTCTCAAAAAACCAAAAAAAAAAACCAACAAAAAAAGTCTCCTTGTTAACCCCTTGTCCTTGGAGACCTAACATCTACTACAGAATCTTTATATATGCTTCTCCCAAACTCAGCTTCAGCACTTTTTTTAATTGATTAAAGTTTTGATACTGGATATTAAATCTAGGGCCTCGTGCCTGGCAGCAAGCCCTCTAGCAATAAACTATCCCCCCCATGCCATCAAAGATTGTCCTCCTCAGCCCTCCCCTCAAGGACCTCTTTCCTTTCTGCAACCTGATTCTTTTCCTTTATGGGAAGCTTTTCACTCTTTTACCCTCTCTGTTTACTGCTTATGCTCTGAAAGGCAAGGCATAGTGTTTATCATGATAACTAGCATGCAGGAAGTGTTCACTAAGTATTTGCTGGCTACACAAATTAACAGAATTATCATATAAGCATGGCACATATTTTTGACTCAGTGTTTCTTGAATAAAAGTGAACAGTAGAAGGGAGTGGAGGAAACAGCTGTTAATGGAGTCCATTGTACAGGCCAGGCATTTGACACACATCTAAATAGAAATAATGAATTATCATGGATAGTTTTGTTCTCATTCATAAGTGCTGAAAGGGCTTTTAACTGCATGCAAATAACATAGGCAGCTGGATTATTTTCAGTGACTTAATATGAGTTAAAATTATGTCTCTGAGATACTATTCTTTTTTCCATTAGCATATTTAACAATTTTTAACTTGCTTGCCTAGGCATTTGATTAACAGAAGGAAAAAACAAGTTGGGCTAGATGTAATTAACACCTGGAATTTGATGGCCTTATTAATCTCTAATGTAACTTTAGCATATTAAATGTATGTACTTCCTAGCCATGACTGCTTAGAGTTTGACTTTTTATAAGAGACACAGCTCTGAGACTTAGTAGTAGAAGGTCAGAAAACACCTTTCTTAATTATAGTAGTGGTGCCTCTCCATAAGTGGCAGAGCACAGGTGTCAGTTTCTATGAGGAGGAGAGATTGTTTGTGAGGAAAATATCTACTGCCTTTGTGAGTCTCCTAAAACTGTCTTCTCTTCATGGTGACTCTATTCCCTGTGAAAGAATGACTTCTACTGAACCCACCTCTTCACGTACTCCCAGTGCCTTGTGTCTGAACCAGTCAGTGGCTATCTGTATGGATTGGAAACTCCTCTGAGATCTCTAAGACAATGGACTGAGTAGGTGGCAGCAGAAGTGCGGTAGGATCCTTGCTAAAGCTCCAGAGTATGTGTATGTCTGGGATTATGTTAGGACCCATCAGGTCCAGGCAAAGGCCACACCCAAGCAAGTGGCTATTGTTTGTGCTCAGCCCTCAGCAGCACCAGCACTTGAGCCAAGGGACATTAAGGGATCTGTTGAGACTGTCCTCTCAACATGCTGTGTCTTCTGAGGTTTCAAGGTTGATTAGAAAGATACCTGAGGTTTGTGTGAAATTTTTTAAGTTTTTAACTATTCACAATTAGTATTTTTGTTGTTGAAATTTTCTGTGTAAAACATAAAAATTGTTTGTTGGCCTTTATCACTGTCCTCTAGATTGTGAACTCTGGTCAGTCTTTCTCTCAGTGTTCCAGGTCCACACAGTATGTTTGTTGTTTCAAACATCTTTTGTATGGACTGGACTTGAACTTTTATGTTCTGAACAGAGCTAGCTAGTCTCCTGTCTGTAGCTCAGACTTTCCCAGTGATAACACATGGCCCTGCGTTTCTCTGTCCCCTGGTTATCCAGTGAAACCAGCCTTGGTCTTTGGTGCTTCTAGCTACTCCAGTCTCTGCTTGGTACTTTGATGCTAGACTGCTACACAGTCATTGCTCTTTATGGCCAACTCCAGAGCATGAGTCTTGTCTTTTTCAGGGCAAAGACTGAACATTATGTTCTGTCATAAGGTAATATAATTGCTCCAGCATGGACAAGATTACGAGATAGTCTGTGTGTAACATTGCTTCTCTTAATTGCCTTTGAGGCCAGGGAGCTCACTGTCTTCCATAGCTGATATCGACATGTCTGGAACTGGACAGGTCTGACTTTAGAAACTATTTGCTTATTTGTGCTGACTCCTCCTCCTAGGCTTGGTCATTCATGAGCATTGGCCTTGACTTCTCTTGTCCACTGAACACTAGGTACTGAATGAAAACTCTGGTCTAGGATCCTTTCTTGAGCACCTAATATAGACATTTACATTTTTACAGGGTTTGTGACAGGACGCAGCATAGTCCCCTGATTCCAGCAGGTTTTAGCGGTAGGAATTTGTTTTCTGCCAGCTCTGCTGTATTTCTTATAAAACTGCTTTGCTTTGAATGTCTGCTTCTGTAAGCATTAATAAATATTTCCTACATTCATGATCACATGTTTTGCTTGATGTTACACCTCTTTAGAGATGTGGAGGATTTTTTTCTTCGAAGCAATCACAAATTTAATTATCTGCATATTAAGTTTAAAATCTCATAATAGGTTATAATGCTTAGATGCATCATCACTTCTGCCTAGGTTGTTGTGAATATTGTGACGCCCAGCTGTAAAAAGAAAAGTGCATGCAGGTTTAAAATTAGCTTCCATGGGTGGTCCTTGAGACTGAAGCCTCTCATCCTTTTCAAATGCACTGGAAGGAGAATTCCATGCATTGCTGTTGCCAGCTGACCCCACTGCCTACCACTGAAGTCACATTTCCTTCCATCCATTGCTGCTGTTCTTGTGTGTTCTAGGTGCTGTGATACTCTTGGGAAGAACCAACATGTTTCGCTTTAACCATCCGAAAGAAGCCGCCAAGCTTAGGGAGAAGAGGAAGGTGAGGGCTTGTGGACTGTCCAGGTTGGGCAAGGGTATCCTCCTGGGTCTATTACTTAACCTTCTGAGATGAAAGCCTCTAGCGAGAAGTCCTATAACAGCTCAGTTCTAGGCACTTTACTTCCTGACCAATGATGGAATAGGAGAGCCAGCAAGTAGAATCCAGGGCACACAAGAAACAGCTGTTCCTTCTAGAACCTTCTTTCTAGTGTGCACATCCCCAGAGGGCCCAGGCTTTGTGTGTCATTAAGTGAGCAGTGACTCATCTACCAGAATCTTAGAACTGAATCACTCTTATTTTTTAAGTCAACCATAGTAAATTGGGTTTTTCCCCTTGTTGCAGGCCAAGTTGGGGGCAAGTTGGGGTTGGGGGAAGTAGGACCATTGAGAGAGATAGATGGGCTTGGTTGGATAGGGCCATTCAGAGGTCTCATGGTGCTTGATGGTGGAGGAAGGCTGAAGCCCACAGAAAGAGAGGAAGATTGAATGAGAAGGAAGGAAATCTACACTGTGTTCTCACCTTAGACTCCTGAGAACAATAAGAGCTGCAGTTTCTATTTTCATGAGCTAGGAACTATGCTGAACTTAAGCAGAGATTCTGCTATTTTATCTGTACAGCAGCTGTTACCACCCCAACTTATAGGTAATAGACAGAGTAGGAAACTGGACCAAGACAGGCTATCTATAACAGACTCTGAGGACAGGTGGGCAATCAAGCCACAGCCCTAACCTGTGAGCCTGAGGCCTATGTTCTAACTACCAAGTGACATAGCACCTTATGCCACTGTTTACTATAATGGCTTTAACTGCCATGACCTTTGATGGAAAATGAGAGCAAAGCTACATTCCTCAACCTAATCCAGGGCTCATGATCCAGCCAGTAAACCTTCTTGTCCTTTCTGCCCAGGGCCACTCTAGATAGTGTGTTTTGAACATGGTTCCAGAGAGGTATAGGGGAAGTGCGTCTGCCAAGAGCTTGCACTGGAAGCAAATAGAGCAGTTCTTACCTTTTGGCCTCTCCTCACCTTTATCGCTGTCACTCAGTGAATGTGATGTAGATGGCAACAGAGACGTAATTCTAACTTCTGACTAAACTTTACTGCATTGTGGCTAGGAGGCTTTCTGCGTTATGAAATGCCTGGTGAATTTCTATTGCTAAGTGTTTTCTGGTGTATACAGGCCCATCTGTCCCTCATCTGCCAGATATTAAGCATTCACACAAGTGTGTGCATCTCATTGCCTGCCACTAGCAGAAAGCAATGAATGCTAGCACTGACTTCCTCATACCCACCGAGGTAACCATTCTACCCTGTGTCTGCTATTAGAGTGGCCTCCTGTCCTCCTTCAGCTTGTCTATGACCGACCTCTCAAAGTCCTGTGAGAACCTGTCCGCAGTCATGTTGTATAACCCGGGGTAAGTGAACAGCAACATCTCGTTCCTGTGATTAGTACTGTGTTAGTATTTATGATGCCAACTACATTATAGTCAATTGATGGTAATAAAACTTTGGCAAGGGCACCTCCTCAGCATATCAACCACAGTCATTTCCCAAGCTCCTTTCCACCCAGTGCTATATGTCCATAATTGTACTTAGTTATAATCACAGTATAAATGGGATTATGTTCTCTGATTCTTTTTTGCTTAACAACATAATAAGCATTAGCAAAGATGGTTACAAGCTTCATTATCATTTTCATAACTGTCTAATATTTTAAGTTGGCACTTTGATTACCCAGTGCATGATCTCTTTGGCTTAAATGCTTTTATCTTGTTTTATAAATTATCTGTAATAACAGAAACAGCCTTGATCTTAGGACATCCTATAGCACAGAGAATTATCTTTACTACATTCAAACATCAGGAGAGAGCTAAAGACACAAATGGAGTGTTTGAAATGGGCTTAGCAGCTGGGTGACCTTGAGTTGTCAGCCTAAGTGCTCACGTCATTGGTGACTTCATTGGTAAGATGACAGTGTTAATGAAAATGTCTGGAAATAGGGAGCAAGGTGAAATACTTTTGTGTACATCTCAGTTTTGAAGTTCCAGAAGTTCCTGCTTCCCACCGAGAGAATCTCACATAAAATAATAGAGCTGAATGAGTGAAGTGAAAGTGGCAGGTGTCTCTGGAACTGTCCTTCATTTAGCATTTACCCTGTGACTGACGTTGTGCCAAGTCCCCTCCATCCTCTTGGTTCTCAGAATCGCAGTAGCTTGGTTTGCATGTGGGGAGTTTGAGTATGTGCTTGGGAGTTAGAGGTGTGATGATGGCCAGGTTTGTCTGACCCCCACCCCTGCTCTCAGCTTATCAGTCCTCATCCTAGTCCACTTGGGGCCTCGTGCCATGGCTATGACTTGCAACTGTGCCTTGATTTCCAGTTAGTACACTCTATGGCGGAAAGCAGATGTCTCCAAGAGTTGTTGCTTCACTGTCCAGGGAAACACCTTCAATCACATCTCTACTTTCTTCCTTGTAGAGACCAGCACACCAAAACCCAGATCTTGTGATATATGAGTCAAAGATGAAAGCTAGTTGGTGAGACACAGGTTCTGTGTCTCCTATCAACCCAAACAGTGTATTTTGTGATATTCAACTTTGCCTTTACCATGACGCTTTTCAAATTTCATGTTGTATGCTCACTGAGAAAAGTTATGATCACTAAATAATTGTGTCTTGAAATAAACCATATGTCAGGGAGACTCTAAAATGTGAGAATCCTTTCAGAGATACTGAATAGGCAGTCCTGAAGGCATGGGTGCATGTGGGTTCTTAGGAACTTCCAGTGGCTTTCTCAGCTGCTAGAAGAGATCAGAGGCTTGTATCAGCTAATGGAATCTGGTGGTGCTCAGCACTGATGGCAGCTTCAGTAGTGGGATCCCTTCTGTAAGTACTGTTTGTCTACTCAGACTTATGCTTGGATGTGTTCCAGCCTAAGACCCAGTTAATCCTGGAACCCAGCACCACCATCTGCATCTTCTGTGTGCCCTTTAGTTTATTACCATCTGGAAACTTAATGTGGCTATTTGTTATCTTTGAAAATGAAAAAATAATCTCTGCTCAGGTCACTAGTTCTCATTCTTTTATATTTTTATATATATATATGACATTGAGTTCTTTTTCCTCCACAAAATGCAGAGCACATAGTCCTGTTAAAAATAATACTGTATTTTGTTTGATTTGAAGTTTAGTCTCTTCCCCAGTATTGATAAAATGTCATCAACGTGTACCAGTTTGCATCCTCAGAACTCTTCTTACATCTCATGTCTAAAATTAAAATGTTGTTTCAGTGACTTCCTGTGGTCTAAAACCAAGAATTTAGCCAGAACCCACTCAGCATCCCCACTACCAGTACATCTTGGTATATCTCAGCACATCTGATCATAGCCTGATACATCCATCTCAACACATCTTAGCACTTTGCTGCATATCCCTCGTTAGCAGTAGTTCTCAATCTTCCTAATGCTGCAACCCTTTAATACAGTTCTTCATGTTGTGGTGACTGCTAGCCATAAAATTATTTTTGTTGCTTTTTCATAGCTATAATTTTACTACTATTATGGATCATAATGTAAATATCAGATATACAGAATACCTGATATACAAACCCCCAAAGGGGTCATGACCCACAGGTTGAGAACATGTTTGGCCTTCAGGCTATGGCTGTGATTCTGATACGTATGAAAGAGCCTGTGCGAAAGGAGCTGTTTCTTTGTTCCAGTTTCTGATACTTGTTTTTCCTGACACCCACTCCTCCAAGGCGGCATGCAGATGATCCCATTCTGCAGATTATTGCCAGCTTTCATCAACACAGAGTGTCCCTGTTCAGCACACATGGCTGCCTTTCTGCCATCACTGTTTCATTACTTGTTGTGGAGGCAATCCATCCTGCAGCAAATTCTTTCTGAGAACTTCTATCAATCAGACATGATTCTAAGATGGGACCTTTGGTGTTGACAATGTTGATGTCCGTGCTAGTTGGAGGAGAGAATCAGCCTGTAGATGATTAAAAGATCAGACAAAGTAAAGGTGAAGTGAAGTGAATGCCTCTGGGGCAGTGTTTGGTGGAGTGGTCAGGGAAGCCCTCCAGAGCAGGAGATTCTTGATCTAAGGCTTGAGTAGAGTGAAGGTGACACTCATAAGAGACAGGTTGTGGAATGGGAAACAGTTCAGACGAAGGGAAAGGAACTAAAATGCTTCAAAATTACAAGTGGAGAGTGGACCAGAGGAAGTGGAATACAGGAAGAAGAAGGGTGAGGCCCAGTCCGTGACAGCCTGTGTGGGCGGGCCCCTGGCAGACACTGCAGGGAATGGTGGTTTCTAAGAGCACTGGCAAACATGGGAAGCCTTTGCGTGGGACAGTAACTTGAAGGGCATTTACTATGGAAAGTGTAGCGTGGAATCAGGATATTGTGGGGGAAGCTGTTTATTTATACTCTATGAAAGATAGTGGTGGTATAGGTCTGGGGTTCAGCCATAGATACATAGGAAAGTATAATTGAGGAGCTATGGGGTAAGGGGAGCTCCCTAGTCTTGGGTCTAAGCATCTGGGATAGATGTTCCCAAATGGGCCGGACAAGGAAGATGAGTTCACATGGGCAGGTGATAGAGTAAGTACATAAGCATCTTTCTTGTTAGGCTGGAAGCTTTGTGAGGTGAAAGCCTTGCCTTACTTTATTTCAGCGTGCCATACATATTTCTTGTTTATTAATAATTTAGCAAATCTTTTCAGATTAAAATTTTACTAGGACAACTGACTCCTCTAGGGTTTTTGTTTTTGTTTAATTAATTTTTCTGGGCATGGACATTAGAATTATTGGGATATGATGTACTGTAAAAAGTGGTATGGGTACAATCTGAGAAAAAATACAGTTACTTAAATAATCTCGTGGTCATGTTCTGGTCCTTGACAAAAGGTGGTAGAAGGAGGAGAATGCCTTCTTTTGAAATGAGAAAGTGAGCAAAGGCAACCAGGAAATGCAAAGGAGAATACGTTTTATGCTGAATAATAGCTGGTGGCTTCTGGATGCTTCTGATATGAGCATGATGCATCCTCTTCACCTGGCTTCCAAAAACAGAGACATTCATGTAGTACTTGTTACTACAAATTCAAATGAAATTATTTAATACTTCATCATACCTTCCTTCTCCCTGGTTCCCAGTCCTCTGCACTTGCTACCTGCTGTAAAGAGTGATTACCCATGAATTAAAATATAATTGAAGAAAAATTGCCTACTCTGACTTATGGGTAGGCAGACACTTCATTATGAAATTGTTGGCTCTAGCAAGTGGGCAAAATGAAGCATAATTAAAGCTATAGCCATGCTGTTTATACCATTTTTTTATGATTCAGATATAAATACTCGTAGCATAAATTAAGCTAGAAGAACATTGAAAGAAATGTGGTTAATACCTGGGCCCTCACTAAAGAGTTGTTTAATTCTAGATAATACACTGCTTAGAATCAGAGCATGAGCATTTCTCAGATGGAGACTTCACATTGTGATGCTTCACCAAGCAATGGGTATTGTTGAGGGTTTAGTTTGTGCTGACAGCCTGCTAAATACCAGAGCTCTCTGTGCAGAGCCTGGGAACATGGGCTTGTCATGCAAATGCATTTCAAATGAACACAAGCCAGCATGCAGTTCAAAGCAGAGGGCAGCTGTGTCTGCAGCCTTCTCTGGAGGATCTCTTGGGAAAGGATTGATATGACATGATATTACCTAGGAAACATTTCATTCTGGTACCATGCCCCTTTTGGATAGGCACGTTCTAATATGTTGGGTGATATAGAAAACCTTTGGCTTCCAGTAGTAATCTTCAGGTTGACATCACCTGCAGCCAGTCTCGTGAGATCTATATAAGTCTGATTCATGAGAGCCATTTGTCTTCTTTTTTGGAGACCTAATAGTACTTCTTTTCATTGGCACCAGTTGTTTGTATAGTTTAGCTCATTCTCAATGATGTAGAAGCACACACCCTGGACTGACTAACTAGAGTACTTGTCATCTAGAGGACAGCAGGATTACAAGGAGTCTTAAGTAGAGCTACTCAGAAGCCTGTGATTGGAGACTTTCTCCTCTGGAGTTGAAGTCTTAAAGATGTTCCCAGACTGTAAGAAGGTCTTGCCTGGAAAAGAGAGAGGCAAAGAGTACTAACTGAAGATTTAGTCCTCATCATCCACCTTCCAAAGACTGACAATCACTGCTGTGACTTAGCACCAGGGAATTGACTGTATGCTTTCCAGTGAGCTGCATCCTTGCTGGTCCCTGACATGTTTACAGAAGGAGACCTGGTGAAGAGGGCCACTGCAGGAAACATCCCAGAAGAGAGCTGGGTAGAGGGAGTCATGCTGAGGGTATGGAAGAGATAGGGAGTCAGCAGGTGAAGTTGTAAGAGAGAGCACTCTCTGAAAGCC